AGTGAAAAGGCCAGGCAATTGGCCTTCACCCTGGATGAGGCACATCCTATCTTTGGCATTATATTCCTGTTTTCAGACCATATGGGTCAGCAAAACATTGCTTACAGCTATCTCCAGTAAAGTAATATTAATACTGATGCAGACCTCTGATCAGCAAATCGGCACCATAAACTGCAGTATTCAGATAAAGCTGAATCATCAATTTATCAGTTTCTCAAAATAAAATTCATTCCTGTGTCGTCTTTTGTTTCCGCTACATAAATCAATAGCATGCTTACTTTTGTATGTGTATACACTTGATCAACAGGAAATTGTTAACTCTATACTTTTTGGCTGATTTAAATATAAGTTAAGATATTAAAATGTGATTGTAGTATTTTAAGTATCTTTCTACTGGGGTTTCCCTGATGAATCATTGAGATGAGTGGGTGAGTAATGCAAACTCTCTCAGTATTGTTTTTTTCAGTATGCTGCATTAACACTTACTTTTAAAGTGTGTATGGGGTTGGAAGAAAGGGTGGAGGGAGACAAGAATCAAGGTAAAGCCTCTATAATAACGATCTGGGAAACCCCATTCTACTAAAATGTGGAGCATTTAAAGTCTTTTCCTATATTAAATATTGCACTGTTTATCTCAAACCATCATCAAAGACTGTAAATATATATAAATGCACACTACACACCTTATATCTTTTGTAGTCAGTTGACTTTTAAAATGTTGAACCATGTGTGCTGTGGATATGGTGATGGAATAAATTTCTCATACGTGTGGGATTATAACCGTTGAAACAATCATTACTGAAACCATATACCTTATTTCCTATAACTAATAGCAATTGTGTACCTATGGAATATATTAACAGTTATTCCTTTGGTTTTGGGTTATTGCTAAAATATTTTGTTGGACAGATATTTAAGCATGATCTGTAATGTACGTTGCCTGAATACGTCAATGAAGAGGGCTAATTATGTCTTTCTTCTGTGAATTATGCTGATGTTTCTGAAACCGCATTTATGTATAAGTGACAGAATAAATGTATCTTCCTTAATAAATCACTGGTAAATTACAAGTTTCCTGTACCTACCTCGGTTTAAAAAATACTATAATAACTGTTTACTTAGAGTTCAAAAAGAGTATAAAGTTACTGCTTCTATAACTGGTTGAAGAGTGTAAACTTTCTTGCTCATATGTTCTTCCATGCTGTTTTTTTCAAACATATATATTTATATTCTAGTTCTTTATAGTTTTCAGAACAATTGTTCTGATAAGTTAAAAACATTTGACTGCTTACTCTGTCATGTTAATGGCAGTTCATTGTGCTGTTACCCAGGAATCTGAGTTCAGATCCCTAACTGGGTACTTACTCCCCAAAGTTTGCAGTCATTGCTGAGAGAGCACATTTATTTCGTAAGTGGGAAGACACACTTAAAGCTAAGTCCTCAGGTTTATATAGAAGCACCTGGTGACTTATAATATCTTTTTACCCCTGCCCCCAGATTCTGGGCCTGTCCAGGTGCTGATTTGGCTCCCAGCATAACTTACAGTAGCATCAGGGCTGCTCTAAATAACACTGGTTTGAAACAGCCCTAAAAGACTGTTATGTCAGTTGGGGCTCATAAGGGCATTGTGTGCTCCAGCCATATCCCCTTATTCCTCCCCCAACCATGCTGGGGGTGGATTGTAAATGGGAGAGTGTGGTGTTAGCAGCATGGTCTTGTAAGTCAGCCAGTGATATTTTTTATTTTGGGTGGGAGGGGGAAAAGGAATCCTTAGCTGCCCATTTAGGAATTTAGCATGGGCAGTATCTGACCCCTTACTTAGTCTTCTGCAACATGCTCACCCTCTGGCTGACACTTGAGTCATGACTTGATTGTGTCCATATGGAGCATTATTATGAGACAGTATTTTTGAGGTGGGAGTTGAAATAATGGGGAGAAATGTCTCACAATACACCTAAGGTGTGTGAGTATCCAGTATGATTGCAAACGAGTCATGTTATTGCTTATGTAACATTCACTTGGGACTTAATTCTTATTGCAAGTAGGCAGACTCTTATTAATATGTATCCTGAAGAATCTGCTACTGGATCTGCATATGGTACATGCAGTGAAGCAAATTTTTCAAGCTACACAGCACGGCACTCCTGAGAATAGAATCAAGCCATTAGTGTAACTTGCAGAATTATTGGCTCCAAAGAGCCACCCTTGAGAGAGGAAGCACTGTAATGAGAATGGGGAAGCAGATATATTTTTCTAATATTTGTTGTTTTCTTTGAAATGGGTAAAAGAATACCTGGAATGATTTATATTTAATTGAGGATTGCATTCCATCAGATAGGGTAAATGTTTTCAGACCATTTATCATCAGTGGCTTTTCAAGACCTCTAAGGAGTACATAGTACATATTTACCTTAACTTGGCTAGGTCAAGGGAAATAAAGCAAGAATAATAGATGTTACTGTGATATGTGAACAAAACTGGAAACCTTGTATGTGAAATATGAGGTAAATGTCTTCATCCAACGTACATTGTAGCTTTTTAAATTTACAAAAATTACAAGCTATTTTTAAAATAATGTTATTTACAGTACATTATCATCATATATTTTTAAAACATAAGATTACTTGGCTGGGTTTTCCATCATTCCTAAATGATATCATTTTGCACTGCGGGGGCTAATTGCATTGCCTGTCCCTTATTATTTAATATTTTCTGTTTTAGTAGCACCTTTAAAAAACACCAAGTATAGGTTTGTAGATTGTCTTGTTATTAATCTGTGTTTAATATATGTAACTGGTAAAGTACCTAGAGCACATGACAGTAGAATTCTACAAATGCTGGTGAGTGATCCTTTGATGCTTTCTTGATTTGTCTTGGGGTTTTCCCCATTCGAGGCAGTTTGTGCAAAAACCCTTTATGTATCATATCATCTTTCAAAAATTGACTGCTGTTTGTGATTTTTCGTCCTTGCTTCTTAATCCTTACAAAGTGGGATCTACACACCAGGTACACAGAGTATGAAGAATCAAATAGCCTCAGCTACCCAGCAGATAATTAAGGCAGAATCGAAGTTCGAATTGAGATTTTCAATCAGAAGCACACTAAGAGGGTTTATTTTAACATTTGCATACCATTTTGTTTTATTAAAAAGTCTAAAAGTAGTAAGACATGTATAGAATAACCTAATTGTCAGTATTATCTTAGACCAAAAGGAAACCTGAGAACTGAAACAAATTTTTGCCTCATTCTTTAGCTATCACAGAAAGGAACATAAAAAAAGAAAACTGTTGCAAAGTATTCTAAATAAAACCAAAGGGTACATTGTTGATTCAGTTAAACTAGGTGTTAAAATGCTTTCATAACTAGTCTGATGAGGAAATTTGATCAATGAACAAACTACTGTACTACCTCGAGCAGCTTGTAAATTAACATTAACCTCGACTCTTTTTTAATGAGTGACTTAGTGGAATTTATCAGACATTTCATGTACCCTCTTTCTGAGTTAAATTTGCAAAATGCTTCCCTCCAATCCTTTTCATTCCCCCCACCATCTTTCTGTGTGAAAATATTTATTTCCTAACACTTTGCTCTTTAACAAAGGTGAATAATCTAGCTTTGTCTCATCTGAAAAATGGCAACTCCAGCAGCACCGAAAGCCCCTAAGACCATGCTGGGCCATTGATTCAGTACTGACCAAAAGGTTTCTTTTAAATTTCATCTTTTAACTCTCTGAATTTTGGGATTTTTTTCATTAGCTTGTTTTTTGATAGCTGCAACATTCTTGTAAGGCATTTTTACCCTTGATTACTGTAGGTACTTTAAACATTAACTCCAGTTTATGTTTAATGACTAGAACTATCATTTAGATTTTGGTAAAGGGTTATAATTTATGAATCCCCTCATCCCTCCCCAACAGAGTTGCTGAAAAGATTAGGGTCACAACCAGCGACTACTGGAAACTGTGGGTCAGGGATTGGGTGCTCAGTATAGTCATACAATATATAACATCGGTCTGAAGCACAAACAAATGAAGTAATCAGACCCAGTGTTACTCAGCCCCTGATAGTATGTTCTGAAGTGGAAGTTATCAGAGCAGCAGACACTGCTGGTAAATACCTAATCATGGTTTTGTTTTTAACATTTTTGTTCAATGGAGTATCCCTAAGCTTCTACAGAGCAGCTTTTCACCACCCCAAAACGTGACTCATGAAACAGATGAGCAATAGTCACAGGGTTTTCACCTTTCCCTTAATTTTGGGCCATGTGTTTTGCTTCCTGTGTGTCAGCACCCCTGTGGGTGAAAGTGTGATAGCTTCCTTAAGACTACAATATTGTTCTGTTTCAGCCATTTTGGAGTATTCAACAGTAATGAAGTTTACATCTCCTATAGGGTCTGCAAGTGTAATTTTAGTGATGATCCCAGCCTTCAGTAACCTAAGGAACACAGTCCTGGAGATGGACTCAAATTGGGTACCCCAGGATATGCCCCCAATTATGTTTCTTTTAAATCATTTTGCCAGATTGCCTTTACTATGAAACAAATTTGGCTGAAGTATGTTTGAAATGCTTTTTAGTTTTATGTACTACTATTCAGAAGGTAAAATTGTATGGACACCACCCTCAATTCCAGAACAGGAAAATATATTTTAAAAAAACTTTTGTAAAATAAACAGTTTCCAAATATACCTTATTTAAAAAGCCAATAACTAAAATTCAAAATCTAAGCATTTACAGATTGAGTATATTTTAGTTATTAGTTAAATTCTAAATAGCTAGTTTTTAAAGGAATATTATTGTGATTAATGGACACCTTCCTTTTTTATCATACTAATTGTTAAATAGTCTTTTTAAAAAAATAAATACATTACCATGAAACAAAGATATTAACAGAGGTCTGTTAATAGGAGTTTTTTTCATGATCTATGTCTAACACACTTTAAAAAAATAAAACTCACTAAAGAATAGACTTTGGGAATAAAAGGTTTCTTTGTCTTTGTCAGTTTTAGAATCCAAGAAGATTTGAAAAACGTGCAAGTATGAGTATTCTTCTAATTGAAGCTTTTTATGGTGGTTCCCACAAGCAGCTGGCAGATCTTCTACAGGAGGAGATAGAAGAATGTGTCCTTTACACACTCCCAGCAAAGAAATGGCACTGGAGAGCACGGACTGCTGCCCTTTATTTCATGCAAACAGTGCCAGCTAATGCTAATTACAGGTAAACATAGTACTGTAACAAATAATCTTACAGGTCAAAATATGAAAGGATCTTCAACCAGGTCTCTAAAACTGAGCTTTCTGGTTTTTTGCATACAAAATCTTGCAAATGGGCACTGAGGTGGGATATTGACCTTCTTGTTTTGCATGCTGGGTTGTGTTTGTGGAAAGTTGCAGGCATCCTTTTAGAGGCCTCTAGAAAAATATTGGGTCTATATCTCTAATACTGCAAAGTCTCTATCTTAAATTGTGCTAAGTTGCCGCCTGTGGGTGTGTTTCTTTTGAATTCTCTAATGAGTTTAGAGCTGGTGAAAGGGAAAGGACGTACAGCTTTTGAGGCTGAAGTCCTATTTTTCCACAGATCAGGCAGAGTAATGCACAGAGTAATGCAGTGCAAGCTTCTCCACAGAGTCATACCAAGTTATCTGTAGAGTAACCTGAATGCTGTATGGATGTGTGACCTAAAGGAATGAGAGGGCAGTTAGTTCAGTCTAGTGACTATTCAGACCTTGAGCTCTGTAATGTGACCATATATGAGGATGTCAAATTGTTTGTTTTATTATGTAGGCACAGGATTTAAATTCAGCTGGAGCTGTCTGGAGCAGAGCTCCAGTAAATATTTTCAACTCCCCTGGAGATTTCATCGCATGTTGGTGGGGGAACATGGAGGACTCTGGGAAATACTATGAGAATTTAAGCCCTGCATGGACACCTAGCAACTAGAACCTGAACTGAGACCACCAAACTAAATACACACAGACCACCAAGTGGTCATCATATAGTGAAAACTTCTAGTCACTTATAAACTTGGTGGTCTTGAAACCAGCCATTCATCTTCTCCTTCTCGCCCTCTCCCCGCCCCCTCGATCAGTTAAGATGCCGTAGGATACTTCTATTAAACAGTGTATATTTCAGTGACTGCAAACAAGAGAACATCACTGATTCAGCAGTGAAATGGGTTTTTTTTACTGTCAACACTTTATTTACTTATACCAAAGCCCTCCTGCTGCATTGATATCTGATAGCATGGACCTCTGCACCTACACTGCATACCACTGACTTCAGTGGGCCTCTGTCTGAGTGCAGAGGTATATGCTAGCAGATCCCAGCTGAGAACTGGGGCTAATGTTTGCAACTTCCAGTGATAACAAATAAAGATAGTAGACACAGATGGAGAGGAAAATGATTTTTGCAGCATATATCCTGTGCTGCATAAGATCATGTAACATTAAATCTGAAACCATCACAAATTGTGGAACATAATATTTAATCTTACACAATTTATGAACAGTTTGAATATATAAAATGCTAGTGTAGAAAATACACCTTTACTGGGCTTGCTGCTTGCTTTCATTTCTAATAAACTGCTACCAAATTATCGTAACTATTTTTTCCTCTTGCTTGAGGCATTTGAGTATGGGTTTTGCATTACTCTTCCTTTGCAACAATTTTATTTTGGAGGAGTATATATGACAAACTGTTATGTAAATTTCTTCTGCATCACAACCACATCCTCCAACGCATCACAATGTTATCTATGCTCCTTCAAGGTCAGCAGCCCAAGCTGTCCAGCACTAGCTGTATTAAACTAATCAGACATCATTCACAGGCATACACTTCATTAGTTTAACTTACAGTTACATTGACCCCAGATAACTTAACTCCAATTTGTCAAGTAACCTACATCTTAAGAAAAAATACCAGCAGCTTGAAAACTTGCACAAAGTTAAAAACTTGCAATCTGTCATAGGCTTATGTGCAAATATAACCTTCACTGACAACAAATAAATCTGAACTAACCAATAGAGCATCTTAAAGAGAGGAAAGTGTTTTCTTTGCCGCTGTTGTTAGTGTTTGATCACACAGAATCAAATAGTCAAAGTTCACAAAGATACAATATTAAAAAGGGTATGTACTGTATCATATGCAAGATAAAATAATTAGCAACAAGTGCTGATGTGACTGGTGAGAGGTACTGATTAGAGGTACTTTCTACTTTACTTGCACATGTTCTTATGTTTGGTTTGTAGTTGAATGTTTCAGATATTGTTCTATTAAATGAAAGTATAAATGAATCAGTCTGTCTTATAAGGTTGACTCCACTTTTTCCTAGTGGACAAGAACCTTGATTCTGTTACTTCTTGTTAACTGTCATTTAAACACCCATCTAGCAAATATTAGGCTCTGCTTCCCATCCAATAGTAAATTGTTGAGACTCTGAATTAAGAGAGTGAAACTGCACCCTGGAAACTTTGAGAGACATATATTTAGAGAGAAATTTTTAAATATTTCTTAGTTCTGAAGAGGTGATAGAAAACATCAAATTTGCATATATTGGCATTATTTGTGACTTGTTTGCCCTGAGATCAAGAATTGTTTTTACTTCCATGTGAAATCTTCACTTTAATAGAAATCAATAACATTTCATAAATATTTTGTTACAGTGTGTTTGTCCGATGAAAAAGGAGGGTGGCAAATGTTTCAAATCCAGAAACACTTTGTAATTGAGTATTGCCAAGATTTTTTTAATGTTATTTGTCCATTTATCTTTCAAGATTTATCTTTTATTCAGGATGTTGATGTTTATGTAAAAGGGCTATTTATATGGCCAACAATATTGCTATAAATCTATACAGCACTAGTATATGCTCCTGAATATAATATTGCTATTGCTAATCATGCAAAGGATAGCACATAAAATAGTGCTCAGATATTATTAAATAAGCTGTCTAAAAAGTGCTTTTGAAGCAGAGCATGAAGTGGTCTCAGGAATCTTGGATTTTAAATTCAGGAGTTTTACTGTGACCAGTCAGGTTCAGTGGTAAAAATTTGCTCATATCTTCCTGTCAGAGAACAGACATGCAGTCTCCTGGGGAAATCTTAAAAGTTGAATCAGTTATAAACAATGAAGCTAGTCTTATTGTTTTTAACCTAAGTTGTAAATTGTATGGCCTGGTGACTTGGTAGGTAGCAAGCACCTTGTGTTTCCAAGAAGGACCTCTGGGAGTCACCTGGAAATAAAAATGTTGAAGAGATGGTCATTGAGATGACACTCAATTTTCATAGGGTAGGATACAGCACATAGGGGCCCCAGGGGGTGTTATTGATTTGCAACTTTGAGAAGGATATATGACCTCCCAGACACACAATGGATGATTTTCTACAGAGGAAAGAAAAAACAGTCAGATATGCGGGCTCAGTTAAATGCTACATTCTCTAGTTAAGCCAGTGCAGATCTTCATTTGTCTCCTTAAAGAAAGACAAAACCTTGATGAGGATCAGGCAGGAAAAGAGCCCTTGCTTCAATCCCAGTGGATTTAGGGAGTAAACCTGAAGATGACTAATTGATTGCGGTACTAGAGCAGTGGTACTCAACTTTTAAGAACTTACTTCATAGAATTGCTTTGCAGGGACCTATATGATCATTCCACAATGCTCTGACCTGACCTGAGATGTCTGAGTTGAATTTGATTCAGTTCAAGATACTCCATCCTTACAACTCCATTATAGACAATGTAGATCTTCTCCTCCTCCTCCTCCTCCTCCTCTTCTTCCCCTGGCCCCGCCCCCCAAAGAAGCAAAAGGGATTGGGCTTTTTTGACTCACCTCCCCAGTTTCTGAAAAAGATGTCTCCTTTTCCTGTCTCTCTTCTGTCTGTTTCTGTGTGGTATGGGTGGGTCATTTCTCTTCACTACTTTTCTGGTTTCTGGGAGAATACGGGGATGGATGAATCTCAGTGATTCTTTCCTTCACATCAGGAGTGGGAGAAACAGTACAGTTTCCAGAAGGCAAATTCCAAACTACACAGTCTGGGAGGTACAGTAAAAGGGCAATTATGAAGAACAAGCTTCTGTTTTGATCTCAGCATTAGAGCATGCTCAGTGTCTCTCCCAATTTCCTAACATAGGGAGTGGCTTTTTCCCAGGCTGACTCAAAAGAAATGAGCCAGAGGAGAAATTTTGAAGGGGATGTATGGCCTAAAACAGCTTTTCTCTGATTGGCAGTCTGAAAACACAGATCCATACGGCAAAACTTTTTTTTTTAACTCTTTGGCTGAGCCCTCTACCCAGCTTTCTGGAGCTCATTTGCCCTGGAGTTGTGCATATATTTTCATTTTGGGACAGTCTTTGATTAAGTATGTTGTAGAATTTAGCTGATTGGACGTTTTGTGGAAAATTAAGCTCACCACAACACAGCAAATATACAGTAATCCTAGAAACCAAGTAACTAACCACAGGGCGGGAAAAATCTAAGAACTAAAGAACTGGAAATCTTAGAACTGTTAAAATATTCCACAAAACAAAGTTTGTCCCTTTACTTTTTCCTATGATTCTGCTGTTTGTTGCTTTTAAAGAAAAAATATTTCTATATGTAAAAAATTCTTCAAGAACAAATGGAGGAAAAAAAATCTGTTATCCCATTTTGCTGGTAGCTTGTTCTCCACACAAAGTGCTAATTCAAAAACAGAAATACATGATCAATTAATAGCATATCTGGACCTGCATGCACAAGAGGTTAAATGCTGCAGTGAAGCTTCAAGTTTGTTTTGAATAGCCCTGCTAGCTTATTTTCAAAAAATAAAAATATAATGTGTAACATTTTATACTGCCCCCCAGGTAACTGTTCATATGGATAACAGATATTATTTCTAACAGACTTTGGCCCTTAAAGACCTCTAGGGTAAACGCTCGAGTATATTTACCCCTTGATATTTGACAACTGTATTTTAAAAGACAAACTGTATGCTTATTACACTTTTACTGAGGGGGAAAATTATTTTTAATGAATGGAGTTGTGAAAAAAAAATCTGATGGATTTAATATCCAACAACATATAAAACAGTCCAAGGGTGTACTGTCGGAACATACATAATTTTATTTATATAACCAATATTTATTTTAGATGTCTGAAAACTAAGGCTACTAGTTAGACCAGCGAGCATTTCAGATCTGATATTTTCTGTTACCCTTCTACAGGAAAAACATCTATTTTATAGACTAA